GAGCATTCACCACTTCTGGAGGCAGGTTGTTCCACTGGTTAATTGTTCTAACTGTCAGGAAGTTTCTCCTTAGTTCTAGGTTGCTTCTCTCCTTGATTAGTTTCCACCCGTTGCTTCTTGTCCTGCCTTCAGGCGCTTTGGAGAATAGCTTGACTCCCTCTTCTTTGTGGCAGCCCCTGAGATATTGGAAGACTGCTATCATGTCCCCCCTCGTCCTTCTCTTCGTTAAACTAGACATAGCCAATTCCAGCAACCGTTCCTTATATGTTTCTCAGCCTCCAGTTCCCTGATCATCTTTGTTGCTCTTCTCTGTTAGTCTTTTAATCTTAATCATAGAAATAGACAGCTGGAAGGGACCTTGAGGTCTCCTAATCCAAACTTTTCTTGATAACCTCCAGCAATGGAGCATCCACAACTCCGGAAGGCAAGCTGTTCTATTGATTAATTATTCTCACTCTTAGGAAATTCCTTCTTATTTTCAGGTTTGATCTCCTCTGATAGGCTTCCACCCCTTGCTTTCTTGTCCTGCCCTCAGGTGCTTTGGAGAATAAATGGACACCCTCTTTCCTGTGTCAGCCCTTCAAGTATTGGAAGATGCCTGTCATGTCTCCCTAGCCTTCTCTTTGTTCCTGAGGCTAAACATACCTAGTTCCTTTAGCCGTTCATCTTACGACTTAGCCTCCAGAGCTCTTATCATCTTCTGTTGCTCTTCTCTACTCTTTCTAAGGCTTTAGCATCTTTTTGGGTGTTTTTTTTTTTAGTCTTAGTTTTAGGTTTAGGGCTTAGAGCTTTTGGATAGATTTGTAAATAAACCTAAAATTTCAAAAGTTGAGATGCATCTCTCTTGTTTTGTGTTCTCAAAGAGTTTCCAGTTTGGAGAAATGGGAAGCCAAAGCAATAGCAAAAGTCAAGCAAATGATGTCCTGGAAGCCACATCAACCAAAATCAGAGGTTGCAGGGTCACACACGAAGCATGTGAAACAGGGGTGGGGCTTTGATGGCCAGTGGTGCCCACCTTCTTGACTTTCTTAAGGGGGCCAAGCTATTCTCCAAAGCACGTGAAGGCAGGACAAGAAGAAACGGATGGAAATTAATCAGGGAGAGAAGCAACCTAAAACTAAGGAGAAGTTTCCTGATAGCGAGAACAATTTATCCGTGGAATGACTTGCCTTCAGAAGTTGTGGGGCTGCTCCATCACTTGAAGTTCTCAAGAAGAGACTGGACAGCCATTTGTCCAGAATAGTATAGGTCTCCTGCTTGAGCAAGGGGGGACTAGAAGATCTCCAAGGCCCCTTCCAACCTTGTTATTCTGTTATATTGGGCTAGACCAGGGGTAGGCAACCTTGGCTCTTTTATGACTCGTGGACTTCAACTCCCAGAATTCCTGAGCCAGCCATGCTGAGGGGAAAGGCAGAGGTTTCCAAGCTGAGCCATGCTGGCTCAGGAATTCTGGGAGTTGAAGTCCACCAGTCATAAAAGAGCCAAGGTTGCCTACCCTTGGGCTAGACCGAATGATCTCAAGTTATACATAAGACTGTCTGCTAAATTCTGTGCCAGCCAGAAAAAAAAATGGAGGGAAAAGAGGGAATTGTACAACTTCCTGAAATGTTTCCTAGCCTCTGGATTTGAAGATTCCCTCAAGCATTGCTGCCGACTCCCAAGCTTAGAACTAGGGGTCTAGAAACATTCTTGCTTTAAAATTAACAATTTTAAATTGTGTACAATTCTTCTCCATCAAGATACATTTAAAGTTATTTAAATTTAGTAGCTGGAACATTGGGGTCGCACAGTGAGCCAGAACACACAATTTTAGTTGATTGGTTGGAGAGGGCTGGCTCCTGCCTGAGGTAATCTGCGCTGTGATTGGTAGCAGTGGGTGTGGAGGGGGAGTTTCTCTTTTTTCCCAACTTTTTCTTCTGTGTGCCCTACATGCTCTGTGATTTACCTCATGATGCTCTTGTTTGTCTAACTATCTTGTCTGCTGTAAATATAGATGTAAAATATATTTATTTGTATAAAACTACAAGTTTGCGTCAGTGTCTCTGAATTCATTTGGACACCTGCTATGCAATTCCCTGACAGGTCAGCAGGGTTAGTGTTAGAAATTCTGTTTATATAAAGCACCACACAGAGCAAACCAAGTACAGTCACCATGTGCTTTACTGCTCAACTATATTACTGTAACAGGAAACAGGAAGCTACTTAGGACAAAAGAGCATAGAGCATATACCGCAGATCCAAACTTGTAAATACTGCCACCTACTGGCTGAATGCTTCTGTAGTTATTGCAATACAAAATGTATTCCAACATGTATTCCAACAGTTAGGAAACGGCCAGACAAATGCATGCTTCTTTGGAGGTTGTAATGTTTGACTAACCTTACAAGGTCCTCTCTTGCGGTCAGGGGTCAGGGCACAGACCATGCCAGGCAAGGCAGGGTTGATGATCCGCCTGTTGCGCAGATTGCTGTAAATGCAGTTGCAGGTGTCGACGGTCAAGAGGTCCATGGTTATTTCTTGGAGGGGCATGGGGTCTGGCAGATGGACTGGAAGACAAGAAGGAATGAGATTAAACCTGCAGCCCTAAACACAACACTTTGCATTGAAATACATGCATGCACACATTCCAGATACACTCAAGCATGCACATACAAACACTACTATGCTTGTACAAACATATTCATTCTCTTGTCTCTAGTACAAGTAGTCCTTAACTTACGACCACAACTGAGCCCAAAATTTCTGTTGCTAAGCAAGACATGTTGTGACCTTTCTTGCCACAGTTGTAAAGTGAAAAACTGCAGTTGTTAAATTAGTAACATGGTTGTTAAGTGAATCTGGCTTCCCCATTGAAAGTCACAAAGGGTGATCAAATGACCCCAGGACGGTGCAACCGTCATAAATATGAGTCAATTGCCAAGCATCTGAATTTTGATCACGTGACCATGGGGATATTGCAACGGTCATGTAAAAAACAGTCATAAGTCACTTTTTTAGTGCCATTGTAACTTCAAACGGTCATTAAATGAACTCTTATAAGTTGAGGACTACCTGTAGTTTCTCAAGCAAGATACTGTCCTGTTCCACCTCCACTTCACTTCAGCTTGGCTTCAGCCCCAGTTTATTCCTGGTTCTTTAAGGGGCTGTATCCACTGCCACTAATCCCATCACTTCTATGGATCCTGGCTTCTAATCACCTAGGGACCACCTCTTTCTCAGTATGCTGGTTTCTCCCCACAGAGGGGGAAAAAGAATGTAACCGGCATGATGATGGCCAGTGATAGTTTTATCCATACTTAACATGTCCAGGGCCCACCTAAAGCAGGGTTCCCCAACCTTTGGGCCATGGCCCATACTACCAGGCCTTGAGCCATTTGGAACCGGGCTGCAGAAGTGGAGGGCGAGCGCGCGCACACATCCCCACTTGCGCAAGCAATGGCCGAGCGTGTGCACGTGTGTTCCATTTGCATGAGCGGAAGCTGCACGTGCCCACTGCTCATGCAAATGGAGCTGCGCATGCATGCATTTGCCCATTGCTCACATGGAACCATCCCCTCCCCCCGCCCCGACGATCCACAAAGCTGGAAAGGTTGGGGAACTCTGCCCTAAAGCCTCTCCTTATAAATAAGAAACTCCAGACCAGACATGTCAAACACAAGGCGCGGGGGCCGGATGCGGCCCGCGATGTGGTTTCATGTGGCCCGCAAAGCCATCCTGGAAACAGTGAGGGAACGGCCCCCTCTGCCTTGGCCCTGGCCCAGGCCAGCCAGGAGCCAATGTACAATTTTGTGGTGGCCATCTATGCTGAAACGCATTCAGTCTTAGCTCCACAAGGCTGTCTGGAAACAGCGAGGAACCAGCCCCTGCCGCGTCTGCCCCGCTTCCTGGGTGCATGCTGGGGAGGTGTCACCCTTTGTGAGGAATGAAGAAATGCACCATCGCCTGGAAGTGGCCAGCAAATGGCCCTCGCCTACTTCACATATCCGGCTTGATAGGCTCCAGGGGAGAGGTTTCAGCAGGCTCTTCCAGTGGACCATGCCTTGGCGCTTGCCCTGGTCCCACCCCCTTCTGCCAGAAACCCTCAGATCTGTCCCACTCCTGCCCAGGCCCCCACAGGCACCCTTGACGCAAACAATGTAGAGCTGGCCATGCCCACCCAGTAGGCCACTCCCACTCCAGCCATACCCACCCATTGGCCACGCCCACCCTGGCCACACCTACCCAGCCCCCTGAGGACAACTGCAATGCTGATGCGGCCCTCAATGAAATTGAGTTTGACACCCCTGCTCCAGACCCTTCATTTAAAAAAAGACACAACTATATTTTACAGATTCCTGGAGCTAGATATAAAGACCCACCAGGCCTCTCCCCTCTAACCCAGAGGTCCCCAACCTTTTGGGCACCAGGGACTGGTTACGTGGAGAGAGGTTTTTCCGTGGACCAGAGGGGGCTTTGTGTTTTTGGTTTTGTGTACTGCGGATGGTGCTTTGCTTGTTTGCGCAGACCGGTTGTTGGCATGCCGCAGCCCGGTACCGGTCCACAGACCGGGGGTTGGGGACCCCTGCTCTAACCCCTTATGTTTACCATTGGCGTCAACGTCTCCCCAGCCAGTCAACCAGCACTGGGTCCCAAAGGCGAAACGGTGATCAGCATAGGGCAGGCAGATGGGCGCGATGTCTTTGTTGAAGCGCACAGGCTTGGCCAGGTGCACCAGAGCGATGTCATGACCCGTCTCGTAGCTGGTGTAGTTTTCGTAAGGGATAATCATGGAGACGTTCCGTTTTGACCCTCTGCCCCTCCGGCCTGTCAGCTTCAGACTTCCCAAGAGCACGCTCCAACGGTCCACGTGGATTTCTTTCCCAATCCTGGAATAAAACAGCATCTATATAAGAGAGCTCTAATCCCCTCCAAACATCCGCCATCTTGTGCCACTTTGATGTGCCAGACCACAATTCCCATCATTTACAGCCGGTATAAATGGCTGAAGTTGATTAAACCAGGGCTTTTCAACCAGTGGTACGGGTACCACCTGTGGTACATTGGCACCTGGCAGGTGGTACGCAAACATCCTAGAAAAGTAGCGGGGGAGGGGAATGAGCTGAACCGGTGGCATCACCGCACAAGCCTGAGCGAGAGATGGCTGGAGCTGCAGGGCTGTCAGGGCTCAGCGGAAGCGCCAGGATCGGCGCCAGGCTCCAGCTGGAGCTCGGTTCTGATCCTGGCGCTTCTGCTGAGCCCTGAAGAAGCGCCAATCAGCTGGAATGTTGCAGCATCTCCAGGGTCTTGTGATTTACATTCAGATGCTTGGCAACTGATTCATATTTATGACGGTCACAGTGTCCCAGGGTCATGTGAAGTGACCAAAACCTGCTGCAACCACCCAGCAGACGGGGGGGAATAAAAACCAAACACCACCCCCACCCCACCCCCGCTGCCAATCCTCAACAGAAATGCTCACAACAATGAAAACCTCGGACAGGAGGAAGAGCGCCGCCGGGCGGGCAGGCAGGTGTCTTGCTTGGCTGTGGCTTGGGGGGCACTTTTTTCACTGCCATTGTAACTTCGAACAGTCACTAAGCGAACTGTTGTAAGTTGAAGACTACCTGTACTTTATCACTTTTTTCCCTTTTTGGGGGGGGTCATCAAGTTTTTGACACCTTGCTAGGCGACTGGTGGTACTCGGATGTTGCCATATCCTAAAAGTGGTACAATGGGTGAAAAGGTTGAAAAGCCCTGTTATAGAGCAGTGATGGCGAACCTTTTAGAGACCGAGTTCCCAAAAACTGGCCCAGCCCCCGCTCCACCTCCTGCGGTGCCCCCGCTCCGCCCCCACACCATCCCCTACCCCGCCTGCCTGCAGGGCCACTCACCACCTCCAGGGCCCACCACAGATTGCCCAGGCAGCTCAGCAGCGCCATGGCGGCCACGCCCTCTACCCGCGCCCTGCAGCATCAACTGTGCATGATGGGGCGTGAGGGCAGAGTCTTGTCTATACTGCCTGGCTGCCATGTCCTTGGCCGCGCTCCTCCGCGTGGGCCACGCTCAGGGGCGACTCCTCCAGGGGGGCTGCTGGTGAGGAGGGGGTCGTGGGGGGAGGCGAGGCTGGGGCAATGGCACGTGTGCCCACAGAGAGGGTTCCGAGTGCTGCCTCTGGCACCAGTGCCATAGGTTCGCCACCACTGTTATAGAGAGTGCATTGCAGAAAAGGAAGGCCTTTTGGGATCCGACGGATCTTTCATGCTGCTGCCCCAAAGCCAACTACATACGTCATAAGAAAAGGAGTTTTCTGTAGCCAATTAAAATCAAAACGGTCTTCAATGGGGAATGGTGGCAGAAGGAGGTTGAGTGACCAAAGAGCCACCAGGAGGTACAAGGAACCTTGTCAGGCTAAGAAGCATATTTAGGGGAATGAAGAATGTTCACTTACTCGAAAAAGCAATGGGCAGCAGTGACAACCCATTGATCATTAATGAGGCTTCCTCCGCATACATGTTGGTTGCGATATTGGACACTGACTTGCCACCGCCACTCGCCAGGCTGGGCATTCACGCCACCCGCGATCCGTAGAACAGGCCGTTGAATTCCACACGTTAACGCTGGATGGGGAACAGGAAGATTAAAAGGCATCTTGTACAGAGGTTATCCAATCTTGTTTTGGTGCCTTGGAGCCAATATTGACTCCTGGCAACGGCCTAGATGAGACTCTGCAGTTCTGTTGGTAAGGTTTATGGAAGCGGTTTGCCCTTGTCTGCTTCCCAGGGCTGATCGAAGGTGGCCGGCCTGAGTCATCTAGCTGGCTTCGTGCCTATGGTGGGACTAGAACTCAAGTCTCTTGATTTGTAGCCTGGTGTTTTAACCACCATACCAAACTAGCCCTCACCTGATAGCATTTCTCAACGTTGGCAACTTTAAGATGTGTGGACTTCAACTCCCAGAATTCCTCTTTAAAACTATTGAAGCTATCATCAGCCATATGGGATTAATAGTGGTATAGACTTGTTCTTCTCTTACTGACTGGTGAAATGTATAGCTTCAGAGTAGGTAACCATTTTTGATGGGATTATAGGGAGGGGAGAAATCATGCTTCGTTTATGAAATAGCCCTAATCACATCAATATGATGCAAGACCAATTTTGAAACATTTTCCAATTTAATCACAGAAGCCAACATTTTAAGCCCACCCAAATATTGTTTGCAGCTACCTTTCAAACCTAGAATGGAAGGGTCACGTACTAATTCATTTTCAGCTCAGCCTTAATGCTTTATTACTCTACTTTAATGAGAAAGAATTGTGAAATAAATAAAAAAAGTATGGCCCATTAATGATCATACCTGGAGCTGATGATCCTCTGTGAAGAACTGGTAAAAACAAAAAACAGGGTTGTGAGTGTTAAAATCCTTTCCAAAATAAATCCAGTTTGTTAAATGCTTATATAAATCCCCTTTGCTACCAAACAGACATTTAAAGTTACATATAACTAAGATAAAGTATCAACAATTAGAAATGAATCCACAAACACTGTAGATAACTGTGAGAGGGATCTCGAGTCCTAGTGAACAATCACTTAAATATGAGCCAGCCGTGTGCTGCAGCTGCCAAAAAAGCCAACACAGTGCTGGGCTGCATTAACAGAGGGATAGAATCACGTGAAGTATTAATACCACTTTACAATGCCTTGATAAGGGCACACTTGGAATACTGCATCCAGTTTTGGTCACCACGATGTAAAAAAAGATGTTGAGACTCTAGAAAGAGTGCAGAGAAGAGCAACAAAGATGATTAGGGGGAATGGAGGCCAAAACATATAAGGAACGGTTGCTGGAATTGGGTATGTCTAGTTTAACGAAGAGAAGGACGAGGGGGGACATGATAGCAGTGTTTCAATATCTCAGGGGCTGCCACAAAGAAGAGGGAGTCAAACTATTTTCCAAAGCGCCTGAAGGCAGGACAAGAAGCAACGGATGGAAACTAACCAAAGAGAGAAGCAACCTAGAACTAAGGAGAAACTTCCTGACAGTTAGAACAATTAACCAGTGGAACAACCTGCCTCCAGAAGCGGTGAATGCTCCAACACTGGAAGTTTTTAAGAAGAAACTGGACAGCCATTTGTCTGAAACGGTATAGGGTTACCTGCCTGAGCAGGGGGTTGGACTTGATGACCTCCAAGGTCCCTTCCAATTTTATTATTACTATTACTATTATTATTATTATTATTATTATTATTATTATTATTATTATTATTATTATTATTATTATTATTATTATTAAACACCCTCAGCTTTACTGGAGAATTTCTAATTGGCTATAAGTCTTTATCTGATAGTGAAGAACTGCCTTTGAGATAAATGTTCCGGGACGTATTAGTCATGCGTGATTCAGTTCGAAGGGGCTACTCCAAGAGGCAATTTCCAGGCACTTGGAACAATTAACAAATACAAGGGGCTTCCGAGTTGCTCCTTTAAGGATTTTCCCCTCATTTCCACACAATGAAGCGATGAGAAATTTTGGCCACAAATATTTGAACTGGCTTCTTTTTCGCACCTGTGTCACGAACATTGTCATGTGATCAGCAGTAGTTGGTAAGTACAGGAAATCCTCGGCCTATGACCATAACTGAGCTCAACACTTCCATTGCTTTTGCTCCATTTTATGACCATTCTTGCCACAGCTGTTAAGTGAACCATTGCAATTGTTAAATTAGTAACAGGGTTGTTAAGTGACGCTGACTCACTGACTCCGCTAGTCAGAAGGTCGCCCAAAGTGATCAGCTGACCCCAGGACACTGCAACCGTCGCGACTACCTGCCAGTTGCTAAGCATCCGAATTTTGATCATGTGACCATGAGGATGCTGCAATGGTCAGAAGGGTGAAAAATGTTTTTTTTTCAGTGCCATTGTAACTTTGAATGGTCACTAAATGAATGGTTGTAAATCGAGGACTACCTGCAGCAAGATTTATCGTTTCTGTTTGGAAGATGTAAACTGCTAATTCCTGCAAATTGCCATTAAGAGCCTCAGTAATGGTTGAAAGTTAACTAGGATGAACTCTGGTTACTATGTAGAAGAGAAGCCGGGACAGATCTATACCAATCTGCTCCATCATTTTATGCATCCTAGAGACCAACCAGATGCCCTCTAAAGTAGGGCTTTTCAACCAGTGGTACGGGTACCACCTGTGGTACATTGGCACCTGGCAGGTGGTACGCGAACATCCTAGAAAAATGGTAACGGGGGAGGGGAATGAGCGGAACCGGTGGCAGCACCGCATAAGCCTGAGCGAGAGATGGCTGGAGCTGCAGGGCTGTCAGGGCTCAGCGGAAGCGCCAGGATCAGCGCCAGGCTCCAGCTGGAACTCAGCACTGATCCTGGTGCTTCTGCTAAGCCCAGAAGAAGCGCCGATCAGCTGGAATGTTGCAGCATCTCCAGAGTCTTGTGATTTACATTCAGATGCTTGGCAACTGATTCATATTTATGACAGTCACAGTGTCCCAGGGTCATGTGAAGTGACCAAAACCTGCTACAACCACCCAGCAGACGGGGGGAATAAAAACCAAACACTCCCTAACCCCACCCTCACTGCCAATCCTCAACAGAAATGCTCACAATAATGGAAACCTCAGACAGGAGGAAGAGCGCGGCCGGGTGGGCAGGCAGGTATCTTGCTCAGCTGTGGCTTGGGGGGTACTTTTTCAGTGCCATTGTAAGTCACTAAGCGAACTGTTGAAAGTCGAGGACTACCTGTACTTTATCACTTTTTTGGGGGGGTCATCAAGTTTTTGACAGCTCGCTAGGCGACTGGTGGTACTCGGATATTGCCGTATCCTAAAAGTGGTACAATGGGTGAAAAGGTTGAAAAGCCCTGTTCTAAAGCACAACTTCTGGGTAATGCTTTGCTCTCCAGACTGGCAAATTTAGATTCGACCCTTCTCTACTGCTGACCTAGGCTCAACTCTGCCTCAATAAAATCCATTTGCTTTCTAACTTTCTAATACATCAAGTCTATTCAGCTGAAGTTGGATGTATCTTTTGTTCGTTGACCAGGAGCCATCAAGGCAGGCTGAGATCCAGATGAAACACTAAAAATACAGGCTGGTGTGGCTTTGTTTGTCAAAGCAGAATTCTTCCCCCTCTCTCAACAGGGGACACGCCAGCCACCTTGACTAAGAGCTTTAGCATGAGCTAAGATAAACTCCTGGTAGGCGTAACGCTTGCAAACCGTGACTTAATCCTTTTTATCCAGAAGCCTGCTGCCTGAAGCAAGATTTTACGGAGGCAAGATTATGCCCGAAAGAAGAAATGGGGATCGCTCTTCAGGGCCCACATGCGCCTTCCCTTTCAGCATTCATGACCTCATTCTTTGAATCCAGTTCAGTTTATACCCTGAGTAAAATCAGCACTATGGGTAGTCCTCGACTTACAACCATTTGTAAGTCCTTGACTTACAATCTCGATTTACCATTTGTTTCGTGACTGTTTGAAGTTACAATGGCACTGGAAAACGGCACTGGAAAAAAGTGACTTATGACCATTTTTCACACTTACGACCGTTCCCCCGTGGTCATGTCATCAAAATTTAGCTGCTTTGCTTCTAGTGTGTATTTATGATGGTTGCACGGTCCCAGGGTCATGTGATCACCTTTTGCGACTTTTAAAGTCAACGGGGGAAGGCAGATTTGCTTAACGACCACATGATTCGCTTAATAACTGCAGTGATTCGCTTAACCACTGTGGCCATAAAAGTTGTAAAATGGAGCGAAACACACATAACTGCCTCGCTTAGCAACGGAACTGTTGGGCTCAATTGTGGTCATAAATTGAAGGCTACCTGCATGCAATTCTGAGCTGTTTTAATTACATGTATGTGTGGCTGTGTGAGTAAATGTGTCTGTATGTGTGCTTATGGAATCCTCTTGAATATTGTCTGTAAAAAGAAAAAGGAAAGGAAAGCACCCTGAGGGAAATAGCTTTCCTTTAAAGCCAGCCTGCATTTGGCTAAATTTCTTATTTTCCGGATGTTTGAAAAATAATTAAAAGTTCTTCCCACTGCTAAAAAAAAATCTGAAGTGGTACATATAATTCTCAGGATTTTTCTTTTTCCCTCATTTGTCTCATAGGCCAGGTCCTCCTTAGAATTAAATTGTGGTTCAAAACTGAGAAGAATGTGGGTCAAATGCTGTATTTTCTGATAGGCTTTCTAGACTATGCATAGGGAACGGGTCCAAAAACTCAAGATGGCGGACACAACAAAAATCAAGATGGCGACACCACCCTCTTTATGTATAGAAAGTTATGGCTGCCATCTTGACTTTTGAATTCTCTCGCTTAAACCCCTGGAGTCTGTTTATCACCTCTCTTAGGTTTGGCTGGCAGCAGCAGGGAAGGAAGGACCAGGGATTGCCACTTTAATTTCCCACAATGCCCCAACCCCCCTTCAATGACCACATTCACTAATTGTTGGCAGATTTAAATAACAAGCCAGATTATGAACCCAGATTTGAACAATGGCTGTAGCTGGATATACAGCATGCACTAATACAGAATACAAGTGAACAAAAGAGCCGGAAAATGTGGCAAAGTCACAAAAGGTGGAATAAATCTCTTATTTCAATATTTGTTTGCCCAGTGTTTGTGACGAAAGTTTACAAGGGTTGGGAAAGAAAGGGAAACCCCAGAAAAAGGGCTATCCTGTTTCTTAGCAATCAAGTGAACCAAACAAGAATGTGCCAGCACATCAAATCGGGCCTTGATACAGATCCCACCATTGGTGCCTTTTTCCTAGTCACTCTCCAGGGGGAGGTCAAAAAAGTCAAAATGGCCACTACAGCCATGTGGATTGGACTCTAGATAGTAGCGTGGTGTACAGATTGGATGTCAACTTCAGCAACTTTAAGATGTGTGGACTCCAACTCCCAGAATTCCTCAGTCTTCATGTTGACTGGGAAATTCTGGGAGTTGGAGTCCACCCATTTTAAAGTTGCTAAGGTTGAAAAAAAACACTGATCTAGATTCATCTAATCTCGGATTTCCCTAATGAGCCACATTTTAGTTACTCATGACTATCTTTTTGCATGCATTTCTGTGCGTCTCAAACGTGGCTGGAAATGAATCCGGTTTGGCACTGGAGAACACATATGTATAAAATTCCCTATGTTTTAGGATAGCTCTCTTATTTTATGAACAGGACCAACCGTTGCCATCTTGCTGTTTTGATCCCTTCTCCCCCACCCCACCCCCCCATGGACGCTCTGGCCTTCTGCACAGTCATTGCTCATGGCCAGCCCCTTCCTTGTAAAATCGCTTTGCAATCCTGAGAAAAATCAAATAAAATTTTGAACTTTGAGATCTGAAATCTCAAAAGATTTCCTGCTTGTGTCCGATGGAATGAGGAATGATGGTGGCAAACCAAACTGGCCTTTTTTAACTAGCATTTCACAGGTTAAGGGGTTGGAGTTCTGACATTTAAAACAGGTTGTGCTGCTGAGCTGGGAAAGATGATTTATAACTCTACCTTTCCCAACTTTGACATTCTTAGCAAATAAAACTACAACGGTTTGGCTTTCCCACTTCTTCAGATTCCTTCCATGAAAGAGCTTCAGGGGAAAAGTGGGGAACCTCACCACCCCCACCACCCCGCACCCCCAGGAAGCGAGGGAGGTCAAGATGGAGGATGTGAATGCACAACTGAGGGCCCTTTGGGAACCACTTTACATTAGCTGACAGCTCCCTTGTGGGGGGTGGTAGCTTGTTCTACTGACTGCTTTGGTGTCTCCAAGACACCGAATGTCAGCAAAGATAGCAGGCAAGAATTCAACAGGGGGAGATTTCCCCAGTATAATGTCTTTGCACAAAGAGATTGGGCTCGCAGACTGGCTAGCTGGCTAGATAGATGATGGGTGGATGGAGAGGGAGAGGGAGAGAGAGGGGGGGGGGAGGGAGAGAAGTCACAAAATAACCTCTGCAAACTTATCAAGAACCATATATACAGAGAGAAGAAAAATGTATCTTCTCCCATTTGCAACATCCCCAGTGGAAGAAACTTTACACTGGGAGTACATGCGTGCTCTCCAGTGCCAAAGTGGGTTCATCTTTAGCCATATTTTAAGACTCACATAAATGCATATGAAAAGTTAGTCATAAGTAGCCTAAGCCTGGCCGATTACAGTGGGAAACTGAGAATAGACAAAACTAGATCAATGCTTCTCAACCTTAGAAACTTTAAGACGGGTGCTGGGGAATTCTGGGAGTTGAGAGTCCACCCGTCTTAAAGTTTTGCTGTGGTTGAGAAACGCTGGTCTAGATCCAATATGTACACTGCACTGTAATCTAGAAGGATTAACTCATCTCCAAGGTTCTCTGGTGTCCTCAGACCAGCTTTTTTTTTTAATTACTGAGGTTCCTGACTTGGAATAACTTTTATCTGCTTAATTCTTGCCTGTTGGGTAGATTCTGAAGGCACAAAAACCTTGGTTATTCTTAAAGGCTGCCATATGTTGCACAAGCATCAGCAACGGTGATCCTGAAACTTTGGCTCAGGATCATGTGTGAATCACTTTCCTCCATCATTGCCCCTGCTCTCTTGTGAAACAGTGTTCGTTTCCTGTACAAATTGAAAATATATATTGAAATCGCCTGCTTCTAGGACTAATAAGAGCTCCTGGAAGGGATGCTCATCGTTGTTGCCACATTGGGGAAAAAAACTTACTGATTTCTGCAGATCAGCATGGAGCAGCCAGGATAGTAAATGCTGTCTGCTTTGCTTAGACCCCCTTCTTTCACCCTTTTTTCTTTCAAAATGAGCAATGAGGAGGAATTGAACTAAATGGCTCCATGGGCGCTACTTCCAGACATTATTAAACTTATTCTAAACAAAGATACCACACTGCAGAATCTGATCGATGCTAAACTGTTATTGGTTGTTCCAGTTTGTCCCAAAGAGGATATGTCGTCTACAGCTGGGTTTTTTTTTTTCTAATACTGAGCATCCCCATTTTTTCAGAAGCAGCCAGAATCAAATGAGATTATGCAACTTTCCAGCCCCTTACATTTTTTTTGATAAAGTACCCATCGCTTGCATTCTCTCCCTGCTTTTTGTTAATCTATCTGCCTGTTCATTAGCTCTACTTCCCTCCCATGCACTTGTGCCATTTCTTAACCATTAAAAAAAACATCTTAAATACTATAAATATTTTTAATTGGGGAGGTTATGGCCCTTAATCCCACCCATTATGCAGCCATGCCTACCATATGGCACATGGTAGAACTCTATCAACTTATTTATGGCAGATAATATTTGTTTTAGCCAAAGCTGCAAATTTGGCTTTGTTTTCTGTCCCCCCAAAACAGGGTCTGTTGAGGAGGGAGACGCTCCATTTAACCACCCAATTACCTTCTTAGTAAACAAACTGTAGATTATCCAACCGCCAACTGAATCGTCTATACAATAAATTATAAATCAAACTAGCCCTGTATAGCCCAGTCCCACACCTAGTTTCACAAACCCTTTATCCAAGTTTAGTAACTCACCCATAAGGACCAAGGCCAGAATCAGCCCAATGTTGGCAGATCTTATCTGTCTTGTCATCTTTGCCAGGTTATCTCTTTGCATCTGCTTGTGCTCTGCAGGACTCAAGGTTTATATATATTCCAGGCATGTTGCAGGAGGAGGATCTCTGGGTCGCTCCGCCCCGCCACACCTCTTCTTGTTTGCACAATCTGGCATTTTTCAGCATGTGTAAAGCTGTAGCCAAATTAGTCATCTTCCTCCCCCCCCCCCCAAAGGACTTAATATGCTTTGCCAGAATATTGACAACAGTGGTTCTGCTGAGTTAGCAGGAGTGGGGGGGGGGGGGGGAGAAATGAAATGTTGATGGTTCTGTGGCTTCTCCCTTGCCCCTTGTAAGATGGATCCAGACAACCTTTTCTGCCACCTTTTGCTGCTTGCCTCTCTTTGGGTCTTACATAGGCAGGAGTCCTTTTTCAGGGATACAGACAGAAGCAAGCCTTGCCTCTCCAAGCTTTCAATGCCCATAATTCCCAGCCACTCAGCAGTTGACTCCAGCTCCCCTGGAAAGCAGATCTGTTGTATTTCCGGCCTTCCCATCTTTCCTGAGCAGGGAGGGGTTCTAGATCGATGCAAGGGAACATCTACAGCTGTTTTTGCAGTGTTTGCTCCGTGGCGTCCACGGGAAGAGGTCAAAAAGAGCAAGATGGCGGACAATGCCTCTTTGATCCTGCATCATGATGCTGCATCTGCTGTCTTGCTCATGTTGATCCCTATTTATTTATTTAGGAAAATGTATATAGCCGCCTACTTGCTCAGGGTGACTCTAGCCAACTTACAGAAGATAAAAACACAATTCAGAAGAATAAAAAAAATAATAAAATAACCACCACCACCCCACCCCTCCGGTGACAACACACACTCATATCAGCCATTTAATGAACGCTACAATTGTTATAAATATACAAATATAGTAAAACACAAATATCCACGTAGGCAACGTACTACGGTAATTCCGCAGTTACATTCTGCTCCTCAAATGGCCTCAGCTTTCAGCTAATTTCCCTTCTTTTCTTTTCTTTTTTTCCTGTTTCCCTGCTCAAATTCCTTCAGACAGCCCTAGAAAAATAGTGATTCGGCCATCCTGGGTACTCCTGCAGAGTTGGCTTGCTGCAGGTCCTGTCAATCAATGTCGTCTAGAACAGGGGTAGTCAACTTTGGCTCTTTTATGACTCGTGGACTTCAATTCCCAGAATTCCCGAGCCAGCTTAGCTGGCTCAGGAATTCTGGGAGTTGAAGTCCACGAGTCATAAAAGAGCCAAGGTTGACTACCCCTGATCTAGAAGGTGGGTTTCCTCTAACACAGGAAGTGGGCTTCCTCTAACACAGCACCTGCCCTGTGGACTAACACACACACACACACACACACACACACACACAGAGAGAGAGAGAGAGAGAGAGAGAGAGAGAGAGAGAGATTTATATGACTCTTAGTTGGGAGCCCTAAAAATGTGGTTCATTCTCCAGGATTGTGGTTAAGGTGTTTGGTGGGTCTCTTTAGGTTGGGAATGATGTACGGAAGTGTTTTTCTTAATCTACTCCCTCAGGATGGATGACTGTATTCTTGTTTCATGTGGTCTTCTCATTTTTTTTTAATCTTGTGAAATTGAGTAATTTTGGAGATGGGTGGCTAAGACACTTGATAAATGAATCAGTAGGGAAGACAGGATCTACTCCAGTCAACTCCAGTTGCCTCACTGCAATTCTACCTTTTCCATCCAGCTGTCAGGCCTCAGGCCTCTGCGTCCATTTCTACCGTGTCTGCCAGAGAGACTGGATGCCCCTTTTCTGAGCTATTTCCTTTTGGGAATTCTTTTTCTGGTTTGGTTTGGTGAGGGATATTTTGGCCTCATGGAAAACTCTACCAATGCTTAGGATTCCCATTTGCGCACAAAAGAATTAATAGGACGGATTTTAGCTTTGACTTGAGTCTCTAGATCAGTGTTTTTCTCAACCTTGGAAACTTTAAGACATGTGGATTTCAACTCCCAGAATTCCCCATCCAGCCATGTTGGCTGGGGAATTCTGGGAGTTGAAGTCTATATGCTGTATCTTAAAGTGGCTAAGGTTGAGAAACTCTGCTGTAGATGATTAGAATTTAGGGGATGATCCTCCCAGCAGATCCCTGCATTTTTCAGCCCTCCCCTCTCCACAAGATGTTAGACAAGCTTAGGTGCCAAGGGGGAGCTGAAAAATCTGGTGGGCTTGTGAAAAAGCAGAATTGTAAATTGGCTGCCTGTTCTTTGACCTCTTCTTAGTTTCTTCCTTTTCCTGTTGACTGAGAGTAAATGAGCTGATGTTCTGGAACTTCGCATGCCTTGTTTAGAGATTTATACAATTAAGTCTGGAATAATAATGCCACGTTCCCAGTTCGGTGCGTCTTCTTCTTTCGGCTAACTAAATCCTTTTGATCCTTGCATTCTTTCTCATTTTGAGCTACGAGGTGTATCAATCCCATCCAATTCCCAATGGAAGGGAATATTTCTGGCCCAGGGGTTAAACTGTTTGCTCCTCAGTGCTCTTTGAGCTTAATGGTTTTCTTGCAAATATTTCATTACCAAACTAGGTAACATCATCAGAGTTGAAGACCACACATCTTAAACTTGACGATGTTGCCTAGTTTGGTAATGAAATGTCTGCAAGAAAACCACCAAGCTCAGAGAGCACCAGAGATCCCATCCAATTCTCTTTGGTTAGAGATACTTGAGCTAAATGAAGCTGCTTCTTCCCAGCACTGGAGAACCAACTACCCCCTTGAAGGCAACCCAAGTTATTTTCCGGTCTTACCTCATGATAAAAAGTGAGCATGGGTTCTTTACTCTCTGAAGTAATACCTTCCCTCCTATCTCAGGGACAGGAGGAAACAGCTCATCGTGGATGTGTGGATGGACCTGCAGCCAAGCACATGGGCTCAGTCTCCCCTTAGCTGGAACGGACATGTATCTTCCTGTTCTTCACAGTTCTCCCAGGGGTAAAGATAAGAAACTGTTTTTTAATGACTACCTTCGTAAAGCAGCATCCGTGAGTCATTCCGGGTCCCTTAGCCAGGAATGATAAAGTTAGGCTGGCATTTATTACAAGACGTTCTACAACCGATAGTCTGTTTTCCTTAGCAATACAAACAGCAGCAACAGCAATTAGGATTCCTTAAATAAATGTCAAATTGCTATCTTTTCATGAGAACCATATTCTGCTTTCCAGGTCCCTTCTTCAAACTCATAGAACCAGCCAGCATTTCCTCTCTCCCCCGACCCTTCTAGGTTGGATCACCAACGTTCAGTTCAATGCATATATTTTGCTTTTGGAAAAATTGTGCAGGGCACACCTCCAAAGAAAAATAAACTTCTAAGCCCTCATCTAATCACTGCCTCATTTCAAGAGCCTCATTCTTGGAGGCTCTTCCTTCCTCTTCCTCTACTTCTCCCCTTCCCCCCCTCCCACTCTCCACATCCTCTCCACATCCTCTTCCTCCTCCTTCTCTCTGGTCAGGATTGATTGAAAAAGACAGAGATGGACAGGTAAGCAATAAGTGCTCAGATGCTATGTCAGCTGCTATAATAATAATAATAATAATAATAATAATAATAATAATAATAATAATAATAATAATAATAACAACAACAATAATAATAATAATAATAATAATAATAATAATAATAATAATAATAATAATAATAATAATAATAATAATAATAAAAGTTGGAAGGGACCTTGGAGGTCATCTAGCCTGGGGTTCACATCTGGTACACAGCAAGGTCTGGTTTAACACGAAGCCAGAAATCATGATCCAGAACCCCCACCCCACCCCCGCCCTCAGCTGGGTTCATTGTGGGTTGCAATGTATCACAAGTGACTGGTTTAGTATCGGAGCACCCACAACACAGAAGCCTGTTCACACATTGACACAGAAGAGGTTTCACAGCATAATCTTTTAAACAGGGGCATCCCAAAAGTGCAGGGAAGTGGTT